TTCTCCTCCTTTCCGGGCGCTACAAAACAAGTTGACCTTTTGATTTATTAGCAAATCTTATGATATGCGTTGCCAAAATTGCAAATGTGATGGTGACTAGTGCGCCTAACACTTTCACAGGTTTTGCCGAGAAAAGCAATGTCTCGGCCTCTCCAACCCCACCTACAAAATCCACCAACTCGTTCATGACTTGTTTACTCTCACACACACACATATATATATATATATATGCATCCTATTCTACTCTATGGATCCTAGACAAATTATTATTTAAGTCTATTTATTATTACCATTATTATTATTATTATTTAAGTCTTTTTCCGTTATTATTCAAAAAAAAAATTCCACACACACACATATATATATATATGTCTAAAAAATTACCCAATGGACATAATTACAAAAGTGAAAAGCAAAGCAAAAATGTTGATGTTGAAAAATAAAATTGTTTTTGTGCTTCAATAACCAACTTTCTACATTGCGTGGTTGTGCTTCCTGGTTGGCTCCTCAACTTGGGGAAGTATTTTCTTATCTCCCCCCACTCACTTTCTGCCCAAAGTGCCATTTCATATCCAGCATTAGGTCAACTATTGCAAGCAACTAGTGTGATTCACTGCTACCAACAAGATACTTCTACTAAAGATTCTACCATACATACCCCTCTATATTAATTGATATATACCATATTGTTTTAGTGGTGAAATTATATTATAATATATAATTTGTTTAAAATAATTTATTGGCACGTGTAATATTTCACAACGTTGAAATGATACCCTCTATATTTTTTATGGTTCAATTATATAATTTAAGAAATAATTCAAATAAGTATTTCGTCGTTAATTTCTACTAATATTGTTTATCACGTTCACATGTGATATTTTTTTACATAATATTATTTTTGATATTTTTCTTATTTTTCTCAAATATTTTGGATAAGTTTTATAAAATATTATCAAAAAATTTTGTTTAAAGTTAACAATTTTAGTTAAAAGGTTTATACACATAAAAAAAAAATATTCTTTTATTTATAAATAATAAGAGAACGAGAATGAAGTAACGATAAAAAATGATAATCAATAAGCGATAATGATAACTGGTGATTTCAACATTAACGATGATGATATGACAATTGATATTGCCCATAATACAAATAAAAAAGGTTGATACGATGATGATGATGATGTTGAATAATTTTTTTTTAGTTACTAATATAGATGTTGAAGCAAAAAAAAAAAAAGAAAAATGGAGAGATCAAAGGGAGAAGAGTGAAACAGATAGATCAATATTGGAGGAAGTAAAAGATACATATCATGTTGAGAGTAAGAAAGCAAGGTAAGGAGAGCAAGAAGGAAGTTGATTTTTTTTTAGAAGAAAAAGATGTGTAGATCATCTAAAGAGAGATTAATATAGAGTAAGAGAAATCTGAGTTGAGAATCATAGATCGAATAATAAAAATTAAGAATACTAACGAAAGAACGAAAAAGAAAGAGATTGGAGATCAAGACAAAAATAAAAAAATAAAATAAACGATGAAAACATTAATAAAAATATTACATCAAATATCACATATAAATATAATATTAGCGGGAACTAACGATAAGTACGTAACTCGTCAGAATGAGAAAATTTCATATCAGATTCAAAATAATAAAAAATAATTAATACCAACTAAGTTCAAATTCACAATATAAAACATTAATAGATGTCGAATAAAATATTTTTTTAAAAAAAAAAATTTATCAAATTAGATAATTTATTGTCCTATAAAAAATAACATCACGAAATAGAGATAAATTTGAAACATGATATGATCTCCCCAGTTGGGCAAGGAATCTTTTATGAAGGAGAGAAAGTGAGTTGCACGATCATCAATGGTGGTTTGAAAAATTAAACGGGTGGATACATCGTACTCATGACTTCTGTTTTTGTCAATCAAACGTAATAGTAGTAGCCCAGTTACGTGTTCTGTTTCTTTTGGGTTGGGCCGGACTACTCTTCCCACCAACCCACCTTACTCATTACGTAACAATTAATAATTTATTTACAGAGTTTATACACAAAATGTTTGACCAATTCATTATGTCTCAATTCGTGTATTAATAATTAATGCTAACATTTACAATTGACTTTAACATACATATAATAATATCGATCTGCATTTTTTATATTTTTATAAATTTTAATTTACTTTTTTCTTAAGCATATGTGCCGTAGAATTGAATTATTACTGACCGTTTATGAACACGGTTAATAAATATGCACCAAGATAAAACCACAAATTTAGATCCATAAATTATTACAAACATTTAGTTTGAGTTTTTAAATTAACCAACAATTTCAAAAAATTACAGGAAATTATATATGTTAAATAGTGAATATAATAAATTGTGATAATACTTATTAAAATCATTATGTCATCATCTTAATTTATTTTTAAGAAAATAATATATTTTAAATTTTATAAGAACTGTTTATCTTTTATTTGAAATATGATACTAGTACATAGTTAAGATGCATAAAAAATCATTTATTATATTAGTAATTCAATAAGTAACATTAGACATAACTTTAAACATAGCATGTAACATACATATATATATATGTATATATAAATAAGTATATATTTATATAATTCATTAAAATATTACTAAAATAATTAATAAGTCTGGAGTATAAGACATTACCATAAAAGCAACAAAAACGTGTAAAAAAAAAAATTTCTCGAAATTTTGAATATTTACCTCACATCATAAAATAATAAATGAACATATGATTTATAACTTAATAACTTTAAATACTTTATTTGGATAAACTACATAGTATTTACATGTCATGATTTTAAAGCAATTAAGATCGTAGAATTGTGGTAGAACTTTTTATTTTTAATTATAATTTTAAGAGCAAAAAATAAAAAAAATAAAAATGTATTTATAGTTAACAAAAAATTATAATTATAATAAAATTTGTGTAAACTATTAAATAAAATAAAAATAATTAATTTTAATGAATATCAAATTTAAAAATTTAAAAAAATATATTTAAATAGAGTTATTGCTCGAATTTGTTCTAAAAACTTAAAATCTATCACCAAAAGATTTAGTAATTTTTTTTTATCAATTTTAAGCCTTAAAGATATATGCAAAAGATTTCATATGCTAAGATGACAGTTGATCTTAAACCATGTGGTAATATGCCAGAACAAACTAAATGTTTACGTTTAGACTTCTCTTGTTTAATGTTTTTGAAATCATTTAATTTCAAATGACAAAAAATTTAAAGATGTTTAATTCTCAAAAAACATCTAATATAAAGTTATTAATACTATTAAATTGAATAATACGATTTTCCTTCGACGAACCAGGTTAGGGCATCAGAGGCACACGGAACTATACAAAGGAAAAAAGGAAAAAACACCTAATCCATCCCCCCTTGACTGACTGGGTTGCTTGGTCGGTTAAGAATCTGAAAGAGAATATGTGATTGTTATGTTCTTTTCAGACATTCTCAGATGCCAAATGCCAGAGCCTATTCTTTTTTTCTTTCCTTTTTATTTTATTTTGATCCATAGCATGCACGCATTCTTTGTCCATCTCATCGCCCCTCGTCTCAGGTACTTTCTCTTCTCCTCTCTCAATTTCTCGCACCAATTTATGTTCTTTATCACTTGTTTTTCTTCTAATAATGTCCATATAATTTCACTTTACTTGACTTCACATGAGTCGGCTTTTTACTGGTTTCATTCTGCTTCTTTAAACGAGTTAAAAAGCATTTTGTTCTATTTGGTTGCTTATATTCTATGGGAAATGGAAGAGTTACGAGTTGATTGAGTTTGATTGGAGATATATTAGTTGACATGTCTGCGCGTTTTCTGTTTAAAATGATTTAGCCTCCCTCTAGGTTTAACAGCACACGAGATTTCCTTCCATCTTTCGATGAATTGGGATTTTCTCATCCTTCTGAAAGTGGATAGTTCGTTTTTTCGATAATTCAAACTTAGCCGAGTCGTTACGCTGTTCTATGATTAGCCGTGTCTTTGTGCTGTTCTATGATTAGGAATCGTTAGTTTAACGAAAGGAATGCTGTTAATTGTTTAATCATTAAAGTAGCAGTTGCTTTCTACTTTTTATTAATGCGGTGTTTATGTTTCGTTGAAGTAACAGTTTCATTTTACTCCATATTAATGATGTTCTAATTTGTTTCCTTATTTGTGCGAATTGATTTGCATAGGCAAAACCATCATCGAGATAAATTAATTAAAATTTCTTTTGAAGATACCAGCAGCTATATGCTGATAAAATTAGCTGAAGTTACTGATTTGAAGGCTTTTGAAAACATCATAAACTTCTCTTACATTTTACAAGAAGAAAGTATCGGGAACCTAGGAAGATGAAAGATCAATATAATATATGACAGTCTTTAGTCTTTTTTTATCACAGTTAATTACAAGTTTTAGTGATTACAATGTTCTTGTAAGGTTTTTATGAAATTAATCCGCTTGATGATGCACACTTCTTTTGTTTCTTCAATATTTCTAATAAGGTTACGTTTACTGAATTGGTAATTAGGATTCTGGAGCTGGTCTATACAGTGGTTTAGTACTATAAGCTGCTGTGATGGGCTCTGATAAACATTCTGCTGGTTTGTTGGATACTCTCAAAATGGAGAGGGTCAGGACAATTCTAACACATACTTATCCTTATCCACACGAGCATTCACGTCATGCCATCATTGCTGTAGTCGTTGGTTGTTTGTTTTTCATTTCATCAGATAACATTCATACACTGATAGAGAAGTTGGATAATAATATCAAATGGTGGTCTATGTACGTTTGTTTGCTTGGCTTCTTCTACTTCTTTTCATCTCCGTTTATAGGGAAGACCATCAAACCAAGCTATTCAAATTTCAGTAGATGGTAAGTCTTTACTCTTAATGTATATCTGAATGGTTGATTTTATTGCTCTTTATGCTAGAACATGGCTAGCATAAGTCGCAGTTTTAACCTTGTGAGATCACTTCTGCAGGTACATAGCCTGGATTTTGGTTGCAGCTCTGTATCATCTTCCTAGTTTTCAATCAATGGGAGTGGATATGAGGATGAACTTGTCTTTGTTTTTGACAATTTATGTGTCTTCTATTCTCTTTCTTCTTGTCTTTCACGTTATATTTCTTGGGCTTTGGTATGTTGGTCTTGTTTCTCGTGTTGCTGGCAAGAGGCCGGAGATCCTGACCATTCTTCAAAATTGTGCTGTAAGTGATGAAAATTTAATTTTCATTTTATTATGACTTGCATATTTACTTGTAGTAGCAAACATGTGAATACTGGTTCTCTTACTTACTCTGGCAGGTTCTCAGTATAGCCTGCTGCGTGTTTTACAGTCATTGTGGTAACCGTGCTATTCTGAGACAAAGACCTGAACAAAAAAACTATGGCTGGTTTTCCTTTTGGAAAAAGGAGGATAATAACAATCCATGGCTTGCAAAATTCCTCATAATGAATGAGTTGAAAGACCAAGTCTGCTCATCTTGGTTTGCTCCAGTTGGGTCTGCAAGTGATTATCCGCTTCTATCCAAGTGGGTCATCTATGGGGAGGTGTGGCTCCAAGGGCTTATAACTTTAATATTGTCTGGTATTATCCTATAAATATTCTGTTACTTAGATGGTTTCCACCCCCTCTACGTTTTCATTTTTTGTTCTTTTTGCACCATTTGCAGTTGGCATGCAGTGGTTCATGTCCAGATTCATCAGATGAAATTTCTCCCATTTACTCGTTATGGGCCACATTTATTGGCCTTTACATTGCAAATTATGTAGTGGAGAGGTCAACAGGGTGAGTGATGATTTCTGGCTCGAATTTAATGGGTAATATATTGTTGATTGTCAAATGTTTGCAAGATTGTGGAGACAGATGCACTTGTTTGGTCCAAAGTGTGGATATTAATGCTCGGCCATTTATTGTGATGTGCCTCTACTGCCTTGATTGATGTTTCTTTCATCTTTTATGCTTTGTCATTTCATTTCTTCTTTTGTTGCTTTCTTTCCAGATTTTTTTTTTCTTTTGGGGTGGCGAGATGAGGATTACGTTAAGAAATAATATCAGATATTGTCTTCATATGATCCGCATTTCATATCAGATGCATTAATATCTGATTTAGCCCATAACCTACCAATTAGTGTAGCTTTTTTATCACCAAAAGCTTTTCTTTTTTTTTTTAAAATAATCATTACAATTATCATGGTTTCTATTAGCTTGTTGATTTTTTGTCTTTTGAAGGATATTGGAGAAAAAAACAACTTTCAGAATAGTTTTTTTCATTTTCGTGTCTTCAGAAACTGGGATCAATTGCATTTCTTATACTTTGCCTTCTGTGTTCTTTCTTCCTTACCATTTTTTCTTGCTTCAATCATCAGGTGGGCTCTTACTCATCCCTTATCTGTTGAAGAATATGAGAAACTGAAAAAGCAGCAAATGAAGCCAGATTTCTTAGATATGGTTCCTTGGTATTCAGGGTATGTTGATGATGTTGTTACCTTTTTCTTTCTGCCTGCCCCCCTTACCTCAAGCGGGTAGTAATTTCCTGAGGAAAAGGAGAAATTTCTGTAAGGTGGATTGTTTCGTTTAGCTTTCCTTTCTTATTCTCCTAAGAAAGGCTTTCCTTTCTGGTGGACTATATTGTGCAGAACATCAGCTGATTTATTCAAGACTGTTTTTGACCTCCTGGTATCAGTAACTGTTTTTGTTGGTCGCTTTGATATGCGCATGATGCAGGTGAAGTTATAGTTGCTTTTCATAACATAATTCTGTTTCTTTTTTTCTTTAATAACATACAAACCGTATTCTCCTGTGCAAGAGGCATGCAAACACTTCTTAATGGAATTTCTTCTCTTTTCCCTTTTCTGCTATCAGGCAGCAATGAGCAGGTTTCAAGATGGTGCTCAACAAGGAGATCTTCTCTATGATCATTTTAGTGGAAAAGAAGATCTATGGTTTGATTTCATGGCAGATACTGGTGATGGTGGGAACTCGTCTTATTCGGTTGCACGACTACTTGCTCAGCCTTTCATCCGACTTACTAAGGGTGATTCCATGCTTACTCTACCACGTGGCGACTTACTTCTTATTGGAGGAGATCTTGCGTAAGTTGGTCATATCTCGAAGGGGGATTCTTAACATAATATCAAGAATCTTGAAATTGCTTGCACTTGTATTTGACCTGGTTGAATCTTTAATCCTTAAACTGAAGGCTTAGACACTTCATATTTGTTTAATTTCCATTATTAATGCTCTATACAGATATCCGAATCCTTCCGCATTTACCTACGAAAGACGCCTCTTTTGTCCTTTTGAATATGCTCTGCAGCCTCCTCCTTGGTATAAACAAGGGCATATAGCCGTAAACAAGCCTGAAATGCCTGATGGGATTTCTGATCTGGAGCAATATGATGGGCCTCAATGCTTTCTGATTCCTGGAAACCACGGTTGGTTCTAATTCAGCTTGAGCTTCCTCCGAGCAATTTATTTCTGCAAAGAGAAAAGTTTCTGATATTGTTTCTCTGATTATATGTAGCCTGAGCAATTGATATCATCTCTTAGTAGATCCTATTTTATCTTCATGAGAAAGTCTCTTCATTGCCAAGTGTTGCACTGATCTTGTCTGATCATCTACTGTTTACAGATTGGTTTGATGGACTTCATACTTTTATGAGGTACATTTGCCATAAGAGTTGGTTGGGGGGTTGGTTTATGCCTCAGAAGAAAAGTTATTTTGCATTGCAACTTCCAAAGAGATGGTGGGTATTCGGTCTTGACCTTGCTCTTCATGGGGATATTGATGTATACCAATTCAAATTCTTTTCTGAACTGGTTAAAAACAAGGTAACTTCAACTTTCTCCTCTCCCTGTGATGCTTTATTGACAATTTATGAGCCCATTGGATATCATTGTTTTGTGAAAAATTGAATTTTTGGGGATTGGTATCTTTATTGTGTTGACTATTCCTGAAGTGGGGTGAAAAGAGGAAAATGATCCAGTATATGTAGTTTGTTCCAATTATAGTTGATGGAGCTTTTGTTGGACCTCAGTAAATGTAACCAAAACTATGCCAAAAGCACAATTGTGTATGCTCCCCTTGTTTGGTATTCTTTTTTTTTTTACTTTGAAATAAAAAGTATAATGTATATTTATTAGTTACAGGCAGTAAAGGGATGCCGACCCATGTACAAAAGATATTTAAACATCAATTAGGACTTCGATAAGATTACCAAAATCCTCTATTGAGCATAGATTGTACCAGTAACCAAAAAATCCAAAAATCCAAAAACTGGCTCTTATTCATGTACCATGAGTAAAGAGGAACTGAGATGCTTCCATGATCGGCTTTTTTTTTTCCTGATAAATACTTCTGTGACTACTTATTCTTTGAAGGTTGGAACTTGTTTTGATATACTGGTATATGTGGGTACATGTTTTAAATTGGGCTAAGCTGCAAAATCTCCTACCTTGATTGGCAAATTCTAGTTTAGAAAAGCATTATGTTAATTTCTTATGGCAGATAATTATTCTCTTCACCCACATATGTGTGTGTATGTGTGTGTTTGTATATGAGAGAGAGAGAGAGAAAGGGAAGGAGAAGAAGAAAAAGAAGAAGAAGAAGTTAATTCAGTGCTTGCTAAGTTAGTAGATGTTATATTTTATGTAAGTAAATATGTGTGTATGTGTGTTTTTGTATATGAGAGAGAGAGAGAAAGGGAAGGAGAAGAAGAACAAGAAGTTAATTCAGTGCTTGCTAAGTGAGTAAAGAGTGATGTGTTTGAAAGGTGTTGTGCCTGAGTATTTATAGAGCAGCAATGCATGAACATAAACCATTTCAAATGCTTTTGAAATCATTTTGTCTCCTCAATTACCTATGGGGACAACTGTTGGTTATTACACTTGGAACAATTATGTTCTTGTCAACCCTAGTAGCGCGAGCTTTTAATTACTTACCAAGTATACATATATATATATATATTATTAATGAATCTATGTTTCTCATGTATGATCATCAATCTAATATTTAAACATCAAGTAGGACTTCGATAAGATTACCAAAATCCTCCATTGAGCATAGATTGTATCAGTAACCAAAAATCCAAAAAACTGGCTCTTATTCATGTACCATGAGTAAAGAGGAACTGAGATGCTTCCATGACCAGCTTTTTTTTTTCCTGATAAATACTTCTGTGAATACTTATTCTTTGAAGGTTGGAACTTGTCTTGATATATTGGTATATGTGGGTACATGTTTTTAATTGGGCTAAGCTGCAAAATCTCCTACCTTGATTGGCAAATTCTAGTTTAGAAAAGCATTATGTTAATTTCTCATGGCAGATAATTATTCTCTTTACCCCTTCCAAATGAAAGAAAGATGAAAAAATGTTTGTTGTGGATGTTACGTACTTTGTCAACCAAAAAGATGAAGGGAAAGGGACAGGGCATATAAAAATAGTTGATTGGGTGACCAATTATTCTAAAAAGATAAGCTGGTAGGAAATTGTTCAATCTATATTTTACTTTGACATCCATTTTCAAGCACACGTCCTTTGAGTAGAGCGTGGATCAAGTGTAAGTCTACCAGTAGTTACCTGAACAACAGTATGTCCAGACTGTAATATATGGTACAGGTATGAAATACCTAGACTTGGCTTAGAAGGGGTGGTTGTTCGAAGTTTGATAGAACCCCTTATTAGGTTAATTATGTGGATCCTAAGTAATTTATTTGTAATGCATTTCTTGTCTGTTTATTTATTATTTTTCTATGCGAAAAGGACCTTGGATTTGAATCTTTTTCGTTGCTATAATGAGGATATGGATGCTCATGTTACAAACTTGAAAAGAACTTAGTTAACATATTAGAAGTGTCTAGAGAAGATAATCAATATAATTTGATTCCCACAGAAAAAAAATATTGATTGATGGATTCTTGCTGTTTACTTTGACATCTAATCTTTCTTGAGAAGTTC